ACTTGAGAGGCTGAGGCAGGAGAATTACTTGAACCTGGGAGGTGGAGCTTGCAGTGAGCCGAGATCGCACCACTACACTCCAGCCTGGGTGACAGAGCAAGATTCCATCTGGAAAAAAAAAAAAGTGAAATGGGACTACACAACGGTATGAAATCCAGGAGGGGCCATTCTTGGAGGTCCCCTTCAAGCTAGTTGAGGACAGAACCAGGATTCCAATCTCAGGGAGAGACAGAAGCAAGACGCACAGGCCCAACCCGGACCCCTGGAGGTGTGCACGCCACAAGGCCCTGTGTTACAAAGCCAAGGAAGGAAGGCCTCTCCCAGCAAGGATCCCAACCTGGCTTGCATTTCTAGACTGACCCTGCAGCTACTCAGCAGTGTCTTTAAAGGGGACTAGAGGAGAGGAAATGGGAGGCAGGGAGATCAGGTGACAGAAAAGGAGGCTTGGCAGGGCACAGTAGCTCATGTTTGTAATCCCAGCACTTTGAGAGGCTGAGGCAGGCAGATCACTAGGTCAGGAGTTTGACACCAGCATGGTGAAACCCGGTCTCTTTAAAAAAAAAGAGAGAGAGAGAAAAGGAGGCTCTCAAAAGACAACAGCATTGGCTGGGTGTGATGGCTTATACCTGTAATCCCAGTACTTTGGGAGAGTGAGGCAAGCAGATCACTTGAGGTCAAGAGTTCGAAACCAGTCTGGCCAACATGGTGAAACCCTATCACTACCACAAATACAAAAATTAGCCGGGCATGGTGGTGCATGCCTGTAATCCCAGCTGCTCAGGAGGCCAAAGCATGAGAACCACTTGAACCCAGGAGGCGGTGGTTGCAGTGAGCTGAGATCGCGACACTGAACTCCAGCCTGGGTAACCAAAGGAGACTGTCTCAAAAATGAATGACTTTGTCATAAATAAGACAACAGCATGGTCCCTGCCTGCCTCTGGCCCACAAGACTCTGGTCACATGTCTGAGGCTCCCGATATACATTTACTGGGCTGCAGATACATGGATGAATGAAACATGACAAAGTCATTCAGTGGTTTCCAACCCTCTGGGGTAAATATCCTCCCATGTAAGCCAGGAGGCCGGGAATTTGAGACCAGCCTGGCCAACATGGTGAAACCCCGTCTCTACTAAAAAATATAAAAATCAGCCAGGCACAGTGGCATGTGCCTGTAATCCTAGTTACTCTGGAGGCTGAGGCTGGAGAATTGCCTGAACCAGGGAGGCAGAGGTTGCAGTGAGCTGAGATGGCACCACTGCACTCCAGCCTGGGTGACAGAGCGACTCCATCTCAAAAAAAAAACCAATAAAAGGCTGGGCCTGGTGGCTCATGCCTGTAATCCCAGCACTTGAGGAGGCTGAGGCAGATGGATACTTGAAGTCAGTTCAAGACGAGTCTGGCCAGCATGGTGAAACCCCAACTGTACTAAAAATACAAAACCAACTAGCCGGGCATGGTAGCAGGCCCCAGCTACTCAGGAGGCTAAGGCAGGAGAATCGCTTGAACCCAGGAGACAGAAGTTGCAGTGAGCAGAGATCGTGCCACTGCACTCCACCTGTGAAACACAGTGAGGCTCGGTCTCAAAAAAAAAAAAAAAAAAAAAACCCAACAAACAAAAAGAACCCCCACCAAACTGCAAAGTAATAGCAAATGTGCAATCCCATTTAGAAAAAACGTATGTGGCCAGGCACGGTGGCTCACGCCTGTTATCTCAACACCTTGGGAGGCTGAGGTGGCTGGATCACAAGGTCAGGAGTTCGAGACCAGCCTGGCCAATATGATGAAACCCTGTCTCTACTAAAAATATAAAAAACTAGCTGAGCGTGATGGCAGGAGCCTATAGTCCCAGCTACTCGGAAGGCTGACGCAGGAGAATCGCCTGAACTCCGGAGTCGGAGGTTGCAGTGAGCCAATACTGTGATACAGCACTCCAGCCTGGGCAACACAGCAAGACTCTAAGAATAAAAAGAAAATAAAAGAAAAAGAAAAAACATATGTTACATAAGTGTGGTAAAAGGCGCAGGGCCAGGCTGGAAGGGAGCTCGCTCTGGAGTTGTCCAAGGGTTCCAGGAACGGAAAAGCAGGACTGAGGAGGTGCTCTTCCTCCAGGCTTCTGGTGCCAATATTCCCTGCCGTGCCCACCCCGGGTCTCCAGCCAGGGCTCAAAACCAACTCAGTTTCGGAAGCTCCCAACCACGGTGCTTCTAGAGTGCTTGCCCACCCCTTCCCTCCACTTCCCAAAGACAGGGAGGGCGGGACGAGGCGAGGTACGGAGGTGCAGGACCCGCGCCAAGTTGTGGTGTAGTGGGATCTACTTGTGCGTAATTGGTACTAGAAAGGAAAACTGAGGCCCGGTGGAGTCTGCCGGGATGTGGGGGACCCGACCGGGAGAGCTGGGACTGAACGAACGCAGAGGGTTAGATGAGGCGGGGTTCGCAGACATGGGGGGCGCAGCGGGGAGAGACGGGATCCGCAGCGTTCTGGGGGTTGCGGTGGGGAAGGTTGGGGCAAGGTGGAGTCTGCAGGGGTGTGGGGGGCGCGGTGGGGAGCGCTGGGGAGCGGAGTCTGCAGCGGTGTGGGGGGGTACAGCGGGGAGCGGTGGGGCGCGCAGGAGTCCGCAGGGGTGTGGGGGAGCGAAGCAAGGAGCGTTGGGGCAAGGCGGGGCTCCACAGGGTTGGCGGGGAGCTCTGGGGCGAGACGGGTCTGTAGGCGTGTGGGGACGTGGCCGAGGGCGTTGGGGCGAGGCGGGGTCCGCAGGGGTGGATGCGGGTGACTCGGCGGCGGCGGGGAGGGTTGGGGCGAGGTGGGGTCCGCAGAGGTGTGGGGGGTGCGGCGGGGAGGGTTGGGACACGGAAGGACCCGCAGGGGTGTGAGGAGTGCGAGAGGCCGCGTTGGTCCCCCAGCTCCCCGCGCCTGCCCGGATCGCGCAGCCCCAGCTCTGTGCCCCGGGACCGCGCGGGTTAACTGGCGAGGACGACGTGCACCCCTATTGCTCGGCCGCCACGCGTGCCTTCCCTGCGGCGATCCTAATTGGCCCGACAGAGTCCCGCGCCCAGAAGCCCCTCCCACAGGAGGCGTGGCCTCCCTCGCCAAGTGGCTCCCAGACTCGTGGGTCCGCGTGGACTCATCGCCTGGGCTGCAAGTCTGGGCGGGGCAGGGCCGGATTGGTGGAGAGCTTCCCGGCTGACGGTCTCCCGCTCCCACGCCCCAAGCGCGGTCAATCGGAGCCCACGAGGTGCAGAGGCTCGCACTGCGAAAGGGACCTGGCTGGGATCCCTCGGCGCTCGGACTCGAACCGAAGGCTCAGCCTGGCCTCCCGCGGTGTGTCCAATCGTAGGCGCAGGGTCTGATCTCCCGTTCACACAGGACGAAACGGGCCACAGCCCGCCAGGTGGCTCAGAGCAGGCACCTCCAACTCCATCCCTCCCTACAGGCCCGACCCCCCAACCCGTGACTCAGGCAGACTCCTGGGCCTCCCCTTCCAGCGCATGCCCACAACGCGGGCAGGCCTGCCCCTCACCACGCAGCCAGGGTGCCCTGCATTCTTCTGTGTAAAACTCATAGCTCTAGAGGGAGAGGAATGGTGGGGCGGGGCTGGAAGCCCGGCAGGAGTGAGCAGTGGGGAATGGAGATGGATGGTGGCCGAGGTCACACAATGTAGTGAATTCACTTCATGCCACATAACTGCTAACTTAGGATAGTTACTTTTGTTGTATGTAGTTTACAATTTTTAAAAAGCAAACCAAAACCCACCAAGAGTGCTTCCCTCATGCCTCAAATAAAATCCAAACTCTGGCAGCAGCTCCCTGGCTTAGCTCACTCACCCTGACCCCAGGCCCCCTCCCACCACTCATGACTAGCTCCCAGTTTCTGGGGTCACCTTACAGACCACCCATCTCAGCCATCCCCTCCCCAACCCTCCACCCACAGAGGTAAGGCGCTAGTCAGTGGAATGTGGCAGGCACGGCCCAAAGGCTGGCCCACAGCTCCCCAGCTCTGGGACTGGGTGCCCCGTCTGAGGTGGGGACGACTAACAGGCCAGCTCTGGGTTTTGGCTGAGCAAGCGCCTACAGCCAGCAATCGCCTACAGCCAGCAAGCTGGGCACAGGTGCTGCTCAGCTTCAAACACATCGCTGAGAACCTCGCCTCGCTCTCCCTGCCTGGGAGTCCGGGCAGACAGCTCCTCTCCCAGGCCCAGCTCAGGCAGGCGCTGGGTGGCCACGTCGTGAGGGGTGCAAGGTTGTCGAGGAAGAGCTAGGTATCCCTGTACCCCACACCTCCCAGGAGGTCAGGATCCACAACGGGTGCCTGCTTTCCTGGGTGCCCATGTACCCTCTGGGGCTGTGGGCTGAGATCAACCCCAGGCCCTCCCTCAGGCCAGGCCCTGTCTGGCAGGTGGCTCCTCCCTGGTTGTTCTCTTCCAACAGCTGGAGCCTAGACCATCCTCATCTCTGAACCTGGAGACATTTCCTTAACTGGGCTTTGCAGCAGAGGGGAAGGAACAGTGGCAATGCCAGGTGCATACCTCCTGCACCCAGGACAACACCTGTAAGTGAGGGGGAATGGGGCCACCCACCCCAGAACCCAAATGGAAAGTCAAGACAACCACCCCTGACCTGGGGCTGCACCAGTCCCTGACGTCTGGCGCCATCATGGCTGTCCTCAAAGCCAGAAGGCTCCCAAAGCCCACCCGCATCGAAGCTGTTCAGGGCGCCTCACGGCCTGTGCTGGCCTCATGGGTGTGTCTCAGGGCCAAGGGGACATGGAAGATGGCAGGATGACACGGGGTGAGCAGGGCACACTGGTGTCTCCCACACTGCCCTCCAGCACCAGGCAGGGTCACCATGGCCGGCAAGCACCAGGCCTGGGGATGGGTGAGGAGACAGGGTTGTTGAGACAGAATGCAGGTCATTCATGGCACTGAGGGCTGGGCAGGCGAGGGAGCAGAGGACACGGGTTCCAGGCACAGCCTCCTTCCTGGAGGTCAGAGCGGACCACCTGGCACTGTGCCCTAGTCCACAAGTAGGCCATGGACTCCACGCTGCACACCCAACTCAGGTGCAGACAGCAAATCCCTGACTGTCCACACCCCCTGTGCCCGGCCCCCCTTCCTGCCCACTCTCCACCTGCAGCCTACAGCGGCTTCACCCCACGGTGCCAGCTTCTGACTGGCTGCCCTCTCCCTCCCACAGTGACATTTTCCGGGGCCCTGCAAGTCTCAGGTCCACCTCATGCAGACAGACCCTGTCCCCCACCAAGGCCCACAAGACCCAGGCTGAGCCCCAGCCCTCCAATGCCTTCCCCAGGAGGGCAAACGGGAACGGTGCCACGTGTGAACACAAGCAAAACCCAGAGCCGAGTCAAATCCTACTGGGTACACGTTTATCCCAGCCACCGCCTCCGGGGCGGCCGCACAGGCCCTGGGCATTAGCCCAGCAGGGCTCCCAGCTTGCTCCCTGGAGTCCAGCTCCCCAACCACCCGGCCCCGACGGCATTCAGCTTCGGCCGGGCGTGCTCTCAGCTGAGGTCCTCCTCACTGCCTGGCTGCCTCCGCCTGCCACACCAGCTCACCCGAGATGTAGGTGGCCTGGACGTGGAGGGAGTCGTCGAGCACCACGAAGTCTGGGGCAGAGCCGGGCGGTGAGTAGGGGGCAGCAGCGGGACCGCCCACCCACCCCAGATCTGCTCCCCGACAACCCAGTGCTGGTGGGGAAACTGAGGACCAGGAACACCACTGTTGACCCATCACAGACGGACAACGTTCCCTGTAACCCCGTGCCTGGCTTTGCCTGCAACACTGGAAAGCCTGCCCTGATGGCAACTGGGGCTGCAACAGAGGCTGGCAGCCGGCAGCCCACCTGAGGGAAGGGAGCTGGCGAGGAACCACCCTCCCTGCCCCTGTCCAGCAAGGCTAGACTGCCCAGTGACCCTGAGATGGGCCCTCACCTGCGTCAGCACCGAAGTCCAGGGTCCCCTTACTCTTCTCCAGCCCCAGCAACTGGGCAGGGTGCAGGGATGCAGCTTCCAGAGCCAACTCCACGCTACAGCCTGCTTGGGGGACACAACTGGGTGATGGTCCCCAAGCCCATGTGGCTTTGCCAGCAGCCCCCCACCACCCCAGCACTCCCTGTCTCAGGGACTCTGCAGCAGGCCAACAAGGGTCCTGCTCATCTGTCTGTCACCCTGGGCCCGAGTCATCACATGCCCACTGCCCAGGAGCTCCTGTGGGCAGGACCTTGGCTACACTCCAGGCACCTGGTCCAGCCCCTGGGGACCCACCGGCCACAGACCACCTGCACCCGCACCTGTGCTGCTCACTGACCTGTGGCCTGCAGGAAATGCCGGACACAGACGTCCATTGGGGCTATGCTGCCGCTCAGCGTCTTGGTGCCTTGAGAGCAGAGAGGGCAGGCTCTGGGGGGTCGTGGGCCACCTGGCATGCGGGCTGGGACCTGGGGCCCAGTGGATCGGGGCGCTCACCTGCCACGTAGGCCGTCAGCCCATCCACTTCCACTTCCTGCTGTCCCAGCGTGTGCCGGCCGTTGCCCAGGCCCAGGGCAGGGATGGCATCGGTGACCAGCACCAGTCCTAGTGGAGAAGAGGCTCAGAACCTACTGGCCCAGTCATCCCACCTGCCCCAATCACCTACCCGGGCTTACCCTGGGGGTGGGCACGGTGGGCAATCCGCAGGGCGGCAGGGTTAGTGTGCGTGCCATCTGCAATCATCCCGTAGAAGATGCAGCGGCCCACGGGCAGCCGGTCACTGGTCAGGAGCCCCACGATGCCTGGGTCGCGGTGGTGGAACTGGGCAGGGTCAGGGGAGGGGATGGCTGAGCGGACCGCAGGGGCTGCTGGGACCCTGCCCCACCCCCGGGGCCCCACAGTGCTCACAGGCAGCATGGCGTTGAAGAGGTGGGTGATGAAGGCAGCTCCGCTCCACACAGCATCCTCTGCCGCCCGCAGGTCGGCCACTGAGTGCCCTGCAGGACCTGGATTCAAACTCTGCACCTGGCCCAGGTCCCCCAGGCAGACCTGCCCTGAGCTGGCCCCTCACCTAGGGACACACAGATGCCTCGGGCTGTCAGCTCCTGGATCACCTCGTGGCTACGGCCCAGCTCCGGGGCCAACGTCACGATGCGGACATTGTCCAGGGTACCGTAGGTGGCCAGCAAGTCCTGGAAGGCATTGGCCTCGAAGGAGCGGAGGTGGGCCTCGGGGTGTGCGCCCCGCTTCTCCCGGCTGATGAAGGGGCCCTCCAGGTGCAGCCCTGGGAGGAGGGAGTAAGCGGCTCCAGCAGGCCCCTGCCCCACCCGGCCCTTCTTGCCTGCCCTCCCCACCAGCTGGGCATCTGGAGGGATTGGGGCTGCCAACAGGTCCCGCAAGAGCCTCCCAGGGTAGGGGTGGGGAGGGGGTCAGCCACTCACCGAGGACCCCTGCCCCATGGGGACCACCACTCTTCACAGGGATCTGAGGAACAACCTGGGGGGAACCAGCTGTTAAAGCCCTGTCCCCCACGGCCCATGCCCAGAGGCCACAGCCCTGCCAAGGCCAGAGATTAAGGGTCAGAGTTCAGAGCCCAGCCCAGCCCAGCTCCAGCTGCCTCTCCCTTCACAGGGGTCAGGGAAAGCACAGCTGGCAGAACTAAAGGACACATGGCAGGAGCAGGAAGAAATGACAGGCGTGTGGGAGGCCAGCAGCCCCCGGGCCACATAGACAGGCGTGTGGGCACTGAGGGCAGCCCAGGGAGCAGGGCCAGGAGGCAGGAGGTGGGAGCCGAAGGGACCCTGGGAAGAGTCGGTGTGGGCGTGGCCAGCACTCAGCACTGTGTGTGGCCCACACCATGGCAGGAGATGGACACCATCAGGAAGACGGAGAGTGTCAGGTAAAGGGTGGACACGGGCACATACCACGCACCTCAGAGGTCGACAGGCGGGCAGGCACCCCAGCCCACACTCCCTCCAACACAGTCACGGGCCTGGGGTGCTTCCCAGAGAGAAGAGCTTCAGGCGAGGATGGTGGCTGGACTATACCCTCCCCTGAACTCCCCACCCTACACAACAGTAAGACTTGTTTCTGAGACACAGTCTCGCTCTATTGCCCAGGATTTCAGCTCACTGCAACCTCCACCTCCTGGTTTCAGCAATTCTCCTGCCTCAGCCTCCGGAGGAGCTGGGATTACACGTGCCACCACGCCTAGCTAATTTTGAATTTTTAGTAGAGATGTTTTGCCATGTTAGCCAGGCTGCTCTTGATCTCCTGACCTCATGATCCGCCCGCCTCAGCTTCTTAAACTTCTGGGATTACAGGCGTGAGCCACTGCACCTGGCCAACAGTAAGACTTTTGTTTTGAGACAGGGTCTCACTCTGTCACCCAGGCTGGAGAACAGTGGCATCATCTTGGCTCACTGCAACCTCGGCCTCCTGGGTTCAAGCAATTCTCCTGCTTCAGCCTCCCGAGTAGCTGGGACTACAGGTGTGGGCCGCCATGCCCGGCTAATTTTTCTATTTTTAGTAGAGACGGGTCTCACCATGTTGGCTAGGCTGGTCTTGAACTCCTGACCTCAGGTGATCCACCTGCCTCAGCCTCCCAAGGTGCTGGGATTACAGGCATGCCCCACCACGCCCAGCCAACAGTAAAATTGTTAAGAGGCTTAAACCCGGGGGTGAACAGAGGACGGGAAGAGGAGGCCTTTGGGGGCTTGGCAAGCAGACACCAGGCAGGTCTGGGTGGGTGCACGCAGCCGGGGAAGTGACCCCCACAGACTCAGGCTGGTGCCTTGAGAAGTGGGGTGATGGGGAGACCAACAGAAGAGCGCCTGCCCCAAGTGTGCTAGCCAGGTCTCTGGGTAAGTAGAGCAGAGGGCCCACGGCAAGGGTTGGTATGGGCACAGCAGGAACTTGGGAAATGTGTGTTCTTGAGGCGCTTGGCAAGCTGCCAGCTAGGTCCAGCCCCTCTGAGCACAGCAAGACTCTTCTTAGGGAACCCAGACAGCCCAAGAGAAGGACCCAGGGACTCCAACCTACAGGTGTCCCCACAAAACCCCTCCCACAGGCTGGGTACCCTGTTCTGAAAGACAGTACACCACCAAGTTCAGCAGGTGGCCTGGGCAAACCTCGAAAAGGAGCCCGAGCACAAGAGGACAGGGCCAGGCGGGAAAGCAGAGACCATGAGGAGAGACAGACAAGGAAAAGGGCCATGATGACCGCCCTGTAGCCAGCAAGAGGGCTTCTGTCCCTGAAACAAAAATAGGATGGGAGAAAAAGGAACACGCGGCCGGCCCAGTGGCTCACGCCTGTAATCCCAGCACTTGGGAGGCTGAGGCAGGTGGGTCACAAGGTCAGGAGCTTGAGACCAGCAGGCACAGTGGCATGTGCCTATAATCCAAGCTACTCGGGAGGCTGAGGCAGGAGAATC